TAACACAACGTGGTGCGATCATCCCCCTTGCGCGGAGTTAGGGTTCTCGACCCCGCACAACATGATCTACTCCACCACCACTATGGTTACCGCCAAAAAAAAACGGAGGTAAAAAATAAAAAAACGGTAACCTGGTTGCCGAATTCACGAAGTGAATTGGCTTGTTTTACAACGTCGTTGCCAAGCGACGAAAACCCAACCCCGATGGCAAACACGGGGAGCTATTAATAGAGTGTGTGTGTGGGAAGCGACACAGCCGCCAAGGATGGAGGAGGAAGGAAGACACGTGAGATACTAGGAGAGGGGGGCGTACTCGGTGCCTTGCATGCCTTAGATGTTAGACCGATTCGGGGGGAAACGGCAGACGTCACAACACCAGGTGAAACGAGATGGGTCAACGGAGCACGGCTTGGGCTAGGTGGCCTCTTGCCGGATTGTCTCAACACCGGCAGTTGTTATTCGGTCGCCCCGGTGGTCTAGTGGGTAGCCTTGCAGCCTGCTAAGGGTCAGGTCATGGGTTCGAGTCCCGACGGAGTGAGTTTTGCTCGCTAATTGAATCCTGGTCTTCGTTGGAAGCGACGCGCTGCAAAGCTCGTTGTTAGTAAACTTGATCGACTTCATAAGTCGCGAGGGAAAGGATTGCTGTACCCTTCTCGCGATAAAAACATCTCAGGCAGGAACCGATGGAGGGGGTCCACCCCCCCTCTCCTATGTGACCCCGGTTGGGTCGTCTAGCTGGTAGAAGTGGAGGATAGGGGCCAGAGGGGCAGACGACAGAATCCAATGATGGGAGAAAAACAACAACAAACAATGTTAGATATACTACCGGCTAGGTGTTCTTGGCGTATCCGGGAAATCAAAACCGCATCACTTGGGTGAAAAAAGTTGCGCAGTGACTGCTGTGCAACCTTGCTCTCGTCCTCTTCGTGAACAAGACAAGGGAGGTGGTACAAAAGCCACCTCGACCTTGAAACCCTTCTCTGACGTCGCCTACAAAAAGCAAGGCGCTTCCACATATTTTCTCCATCTTTCCATCACTATTGCACAACACCACAAAGGGGTCCTAAACGAGCACGTCCTATAATAGCGGCATATTTCATTGTTATATAACAGGTGGCTTTTTCGTTTATTCGTGGTACTTGCGTAAAATTGACCATTGTGACGCACTCACCCTTTCGTAGTTTAGTTTTTTTTTGTTTGTTCTTCTCCCATCATTGGACTCTGTCGTCTGCCCCTCTGGCCCCTATCCTCCACTTCTACTAGCTAGACGACCCAACCGGGGTCACATAGGAGGGGGGGGTTGGACCCCCTCCTGCGGTTCATGCCTGAGGTATTTTTATCGCGAGAAGGGTACAGCAATCCCTTCCCTCGCGACTTACGAAGTCGATTATGGTTTACTAACAAACGAGCTCTGCAGCGCGTCGCTTTCATCCTAGACCAGGATTTATTCAGTGAGAAAGAAAACTCTCTCTGCCGGGGCTCGAACCCATGACCTGGCCCTTTTCAGGCTGCGAGGCTACCCACTAGACCACCGGGGCGACCGGTGCACGGTTAGGGTTAGGGTTAGGTTTAGACCCAAACTCTTTCTCCCAGCACTCCGATAGCCCCGTGCACCATAACGCACTCACCCTTTCGTACTTAGTGTATAGCTCCTCGAACTCCTTCCCCCAGCACTCCGATAGCCCCGGACACTGGGACGGGCACATGAGGCTCCACTCCCCGTCTTGCTCCACCCTCTCCATGAACAGGTCTGGTATCCAGAGGCCGTAGAACAAATCCCTTTTGAGGGGTTGGGTGCAGGAGGAAGCGGGAACATTGGTTGGTGAGAACACGGACACGACACAGATCTTTTTCGAGGCGTTGGGCTGCAGAGGAAAGTGGGGGAGATTAGCACGGACGCGCGCCTAGAGCCAGCACAAACACCATTTGACACCACCACTACTTAACACAACACCAGCACCAACAGTAACACTGCCACCCACCAACCCACCAACACCGGGATCACCCAACCAACAACAACAACAGCAGCAACAACAAGAACAACAATTGTCCCTCACCTTGCCCTGAGCTCGTCCTTTCCGTGATTCTTCTTCAGCTCCAGCACCTCGAAAACGTCGGCGTGCCAAGGCTCTATGTACACCGCGAACGCCCCCGGCCGCTTTCCCCCTCCTTGATCAACGTACCTGCCATCACGCAAAGCGTCACAACGCGGGGGGGGGGGGTCATCGTCCGTGTCACGTTTAGGCTGGCTGTGTGTTCTGTGAGCTAGCTCAACTTCGCTCGTTTCCCGGAAGTCTTCGCTAGAGAAAGGTCTTGTAAACAGCAAACGACTATGCATACCACCACACACACAAAAAAATAAAACAAAATAAAAAAGACAAATGAGGCGTATTCACACCTTGCCGTTGCGTCGAAGACCCTCAGCATCGGCACCAGGCCGTTCGAGATCCCCTTCGTGCCGCGGATGTAGCTCCCCTTCGCACGGATGGCGTGCACGCTCAGACCGATGCCCCCCGCGCTCTTGCTGATGCACGCGCACTGCATTGAGCCGCCGCGTCGGCGTGGTGTTGGTGGTAATGGCGGCGAATTGTTGGCCCGTGGTCGACCGACGAACAACACGCCGCAGAGCAAGGCGCGCGCGCGGGGGGGGGGGGGGTTGTGCGCTGTTGGTGCATCATCGACCGACGAACAACACACCGAGGAGCAAGGCGCTAAAAATCGGCAATGTACGTCTAAGCGAAAAAAAAAAAAAAAAAAACGACCTCACAGAATGGTGCTCGTCTACTCTTAACGATGAAATATGCCCACATCACAGAATGGCTCTCGTTTGCGCTCGGCAATTGAAAAATGCCGACCAAACAGAATTGCCATCTTCTTAATCTAGCAATCAAATACACGCCGCCGACCTCACAGAAGAAAGGCTCTCGTTTTGCACAGTGAAAGATGCCGACATCATACATACCAACGTCACATAATGACTCTCTCTCTCGTCATGCCCACAGCCATACCTGCTTGAGGGTGTCGTATATCCCGGCGATGCTGTCTTCCTTCGTGGTGAGCAAGAAGCAGCTCGACAGCTGCGGCTGGCACGTGCCGGCGTGGAACAGGGTGGGCGAGGCGTGGATGAACCACTTCTCCGACATCAGGTGGTACGTCTCGAACGCCGCCTGGGACAAAGCAGGACATTTCCACCGATGTGCGATATTTCACAAGCAAGCGAACAAGAAATACAAGAGAGAAACCGAGAGAGAACTGGTCAGGATGGGTGGGTGGGCAGCAGGCGGGAGGCTCCGTGGGTGGGTGGGGGGCTCCGTGGATCTTTTCGCGGGTACACGCGGATATTATTATTAATCGATAAATCGATAGGCCCGACGCAAAGGTGGTAAACTGCGTATCGAGCGCCGCCTGAGACGGCCCCAAAGAGTTCACACAAAATTTCCGAGAGAGTACAGGGGTGATGAACAGCCTCTGGTTCATCCCTATGAATCGTAGCCTCGGCGAAAATCCTGGATTGCATACCGCTCCGTCCCGGCAGCATTGTAGGGATGCGAGGTCTACAATGGCCTAACGACTACGGTACGCGTTTCCATGAATTTGTTTTTTTGGCATTACAGCCCTTGTTGAACATAATTTGAACATCTTGAGCACATCCTGCCCCCTTCTCCCGGGATCACGCTACTAGTCCGGCAGGCCGCGGGTCAAGCAGCGTGGGTGGGGTATGTACCTCCAGGTCCTCGCCGTGGATACCGATAGCGATTCGCATGAACATGTACTGCGGCCGCTCCATAACCTTGTCCCCGAGCTTGAGCAAGTACGCTCGCTCCAGGGTCTGGACGAAAGGGGGGTAAAGGGTACGACCAATGCCGGCGTGTGGTGTGGTGTCATGTCCCGATGTCGAGAAAATACACGAAAAACGAAAAACACTCATGTATCTGATGTTGGCGGTTATATATGGCCGCCTCCTGCTCCGATTCTCGCCCGATCCCACAAGACCGGAGCCAACACGTACGCCATGGGCTCAGGGGCCTGCCTGAGACGCCTTCCCGGTGTTGCACAGTCACGACGCAACCATCGTACAGGTCAATTAGGTACCATCTTTGTTGTGGATGAAGAAAAGGCACAAGAGCACCAACCTGAAACGGATACAATAGCTCATGCCTTCCTTGTTCAACCAACCGACTCTTTCAGAAGGCCTGCGGACTGCGCCAAACGTACCAATGACGCCGCCATTACGGAGTTCGCAAAAGCTCGCTGGAGCATGGGGGAGGCGCCTCCCGTCCCCCGCTCGATGCCTAGCGCTTGATCCACAGCTTGTATGGATGACGGGACTCCCGACAGTCAAGCAACCTTCGCTACCAGCTCGGGTGCCAGTACACCCACCTGAGCAGCAGGGACGCTCCCCACCGACTACCCGGAAGGAAACAGGACGCGACCGCCTCGCCACACACCCTTGGCTCGCTGCCCACGAGTCCCAACACCGCCATGCACGGCAGGTCCGTCAACGACCACGCCGAGTCAACCGCCGTGGCCGTAGAGTTGGAGCTGACCTCTCTACGCAAAGGTGGTCGACTCTGCAACGCCGTTGGCGGACCTGCCATGCACGGCGGTGTTGGGACTCGTGGGCAGCGAGCCAAGGGTGCGTGGCGAGGCGGTCGCGTCCTGTTTCCTTCCGGGTATTCGGTGGGGAGCGTCCCTGCTGCTCAGGTGGGTGTACTGGCACCCGAGCTGGTAGCGAAGGTTGTTCCCCTGCCGGGAGTCCCGTCATACATGCAACCCCTGGACCAAGCACTAGACATCGAGCGAGGGACGGGAGATTACCATGCTCCGGCGAGCTTTTGCGAAATCCGTACAAGTAGTGGCGGGTCGTTAGTACCATTGGTTCAGTCCGCAAGCCTTATGAAGGAGTCAGTTGGTTGAACAAGGAAGGCGTGAGCTATTGTACCCGTCTCACTTCGGTACTCGTATGCCTTTGCTTCATCGGCTACGAAGGTGGTACCTAAATGACCTGTGCAATGGTTGCGTCGTGACTGTGCAACACCGGGAAGGCGTCTCAGGCAGGCCCTTGAGCCCATGGCGTGTGCGTTGGCTCCGGGCTTGGGGGATCAGGCGAGAATCGGAGCAGGAGGCGGCCGTATTTAACCGCCGACATCAGTGTGCATTTTGCACACCGGAAGAGCTGGGGGTGCAGAGCAACTTCATCGCGTCCAAGGGTGAGCGGGACATACTCTGTGCCTAACACATAGTGGCGTGCCCTTGCTCCCGTGCATACATAATTGTCTCCACGAATGTGTGCTTGAGGTTACAACTCTGTCGGTTGTTCCGTCGCTCCCATCAACACACGGAGAGAAATACAGCAGCAAACCATTCCGAAAGTCTTCCAATACAGTTAAACCAAATTCTGAACACACAACTCCTAAAAGACCCTTAATGTAAATGAAAACAAACCGGACATTACGCAGCCAACGTCATAAGGAAGTGTCGGGGGCGGAAAGGCGCCCGACCGACCTGTGCAGCGGTAACGCGGGCCGATTCGTGACCGATTGTTCGGTTCAGCCATCCCTTTCCCTCGTCAACCATGAAGCCGAAGCGTGTTTACTCACGACCTAGATCGCTTTCCACTACACTGGTTGCTGGAAATATATCCCGGGAAAAAAACCTCCGAAGAGAGAATCGACCCCACAACCTGACCGCTGGGGAGTCGTGCAGATTGACCACTAGCCGCCCGTGCGATATGAATGAACACGATGCATCTAGAACGGGGAGGGGAGGGTAACCCTCTTTCGCGTCAACGGGAAGTGAGTATGAGGGTGTGGGCAGGCAGGAGGCGCAACCGATTACCTGCCGGGATTCGTAAGGACGGCGGAGTCAGCTTGTTTCTCTTGCATGTTGGGCACTTCGGCGATTAACCCAAGTCACACGACCACTCTCACCCACATCGCTCTCTCTTACCACTCGTTCATCCATTCTCTCACACTTCCTCCCTCCCTCCCTCCCTTTGCCACTCGTTCACCCATTCCCCCACTCTCCCTCACTCTCGCCCCCCCCTCCCCAACCCCGACTCCTTCGCTCACCTTAAAGCCAAAAAAGTCGAACGAGAAGTCTCGCTCGTGCTTCACCTCTGCGTCGATCACTTCGCGATTCTTCATCACGATTTCGTGTACCTGTGTTTTGCAGGCGGGGGTCAGGATGGGGGGAGAGGTCAATGGCTCCTCCAAAATGGGGAACTGGACCGGCGGAAATGCCTTCCCGGGAAAACGAAAGAAATCAAGCAATTGAAGGGGGGGGAAGACAAGCACCAATGCTGCTACAAGCACCAGCATCCACACCAGCAGCGGTGCAACGCTTTCCTCGGAAAGCCCGGGGTTTGTGTAGTCTACACCAAATCGAACAAGGTCAAAACCTACCCACCAAACAAACATGAAGTCAACCGCCTCTCATGTAGTCGTTGTCAACCAAGCAACATTCTCGCCCAAGCGATGGATACTGTCCTGGGTTACTCTGACTGTGTGCCACCAGTAGCAGCAGCAACACCAAGCAGCAGCAGCAGCAGCAGCGGTCGCATGGGCAGCAGCCAAAACAAAGGACGGCGTACAACCATAGGCTGTAAGCTGTGGACTTAACGCCCCCCTCGTGCAGCTACGTAAGACCTTGGACCAAAACAACGGCTTCGCATCTCTTAAATGGTATTATTTCGGCTGTAATATCCCGCAGTCACACACACACCCTACAAAATTCCAGTCCAAACCCCAACACTCTACGACCGTGAGCACAAAAGAAAGCTTCTGCACTGGGTGGCCTCTCGTCCGAGATTTTGCAAACCATGGGACCCCCGTACCCCTCCCGCCCCCCGGCCCCACCCCTGTGGTTCATCCTTGCGAAACGTAGCCTGATTTCCGCGAAAACCCGGCATATCGCCCCGTCCCGGCAGTGTACTACGGACACGAGGTCTATGGTTTAGCGAACACGGCATGCATTGACACGAGTGCACCCCTCTCACCTCTTTTCCACCTCGTCGCGAATGTACACCGCTTGCCGGCATCTACACGACAGAGCCCGCCAGATTATCCGAGTATCGTACGAGATACTGCAACCACGGGACACCCTACCTCCCGGCACGACGGACGCCCCCCCCCCCC